TAACACAACTTTTTTTCACATGTAGTATATTACCACCGTAGAAATGTTCACAGTTAGTAATCCTGAACTTTATAAAGTAATTAAGACGTCAATCAGCGATATCACTACTTCACGAAACGTTCTGAGATTTAATGTTTTATTTTGATGCGGGAGAATATTGCACAATGTTACTGTTATGCCCGCTTGCCGCCAACTGGAAGTTGGCTGCAGCCGGATGTGCTAGGTATTTTTATAGCGGGAAATTGTTGCATCTTTGAAATAGCTATGTGATAAAGTATCACATAGTAGGCGGTAACATTTTTATTTAAACTAGATACCTCTTCTGGTTAGGCGCTAATAATACACCTTAATAAATCAATTCGGTATTAGAAAATTAATAAATTTCCAACTTTTGTAATTAATTCATGAACATTTATAGCTGCACAGTAAAGATGGAATTATAGGTAACATTCTTATATAATATTTAATTTAATAATTAATACTTACATGAGCGATAGGTTTTATATTTCCTGTAGTAAATATGACTGCTATAGAAAAGTGTTTATATTCTTATTATATTATATATTATATATTATATATCTTATTATATTCTTATTATTTTGTAATAAATATATACTTGCATAAGAAAGCGTAAAAAATAAATTTTATTTAGAATGTTTTCATAGACGAAAAATGAACACAAAATAAAAAGTAGATTGAATAAACTATCAAGTATGGACGAGAATCAAACCTCGGTCCTTCAAAATAGTAATTTTCGCCTGTCGCCGTTATATCACGATTCCAATTGTAAATTACTGAAAATAAATCTATAATTAAGGAAGTAATAAAACATTAATCGTAAATATCTCAAAAACTATTGAATAGTTGCCGCTGTAATGATTTATTTTCTTAAATTGCATGTTTAAGAAAACTGCAACGATATCTACAAACTTGCAAAGTTTCAACTAAATCGGTGACCCGAAGCACTGATGAGTGACTGGCACTCTCCTTGTCAGTCTTTTTCAATAATTATTGATGAAGTAATGACTTTTATCTATATGATATGTCAAATGTAATTGCAATATTCAAGAATAAATATATTTAATAAACATTATGTACATATAAATATATAACATGTAAGTACATTAAAATACCAGATAAATGAAATAAATAGTTTAGCAATTAGTTTGGTTTTAACAATTGTGTAAAATTATAATACAAATTTAATATCAATAAATAATAACATTAACAAACTTCTCACATAAACTTTTATTCTATATAATTATTCACACAGAAATATCTATATTAATTTATATTTATAATATTAGTGAATTTAACAAGGAAGTTGTATCATATTGTGTCAATTACATTTTAGATCATATCTGCATGTTAGAATATACTGAATAAAGTTTTTACATTTTTAAGGCATCTAAAAATAAGAACAATAATGGATATCTTAATTGTCAAAAACGTGTGTTTATATGTATATATATCTATAATCATGGAAATACATGTACAAATACAACTTTTTTTAATAACTGAATCAATATCAATTTATGAAATCAATTCTTCTTTCATACCACAATGATTTAACATAATTCCCATTGGCGTACGTTTCAATCCCATACCCTCTACCTTATTAGCCAATTTATTCTTTACATTTCTCAGTCTCAAAGATGCATGTATAAAGATCACTAAAACATTAATATTAAATTATTATATTCATCTAAATCAATTGTTCATTGTTACATCTTTATAACTGATTTTATATTTTCGATAGAGTAATATACAAGAAAAATACTTCATTTCTTGTAGGTCACTCTATACATTATGCAAAGAAAAACTTACCACAAAATGACAACAAAATGCTGAATAATGCATAAATAACTGAATCTTGAGTATAAAAAATAGTAGATCCACACATAATGGCATATATTACCCCAATTTGGGGAAAATTTCTTTTGAGTCTAACACAAAATTCATCTATTTCAAAGTAATAGAAAAACATACCGCATATTGAAACCAATGTTGCCATGCCAATAAGCATCTTTACTGGATTTATAGATCTAAATAATTAAAGATGTACAATATTAAAAACCTATGATCTTTATCAAAAGACATTTTAAATATTCTTTATCAAAAATGTATTAATATACTTACAGCATAACCAGTAGAATAGCAATACATGTATAAAGATAATTGGTTTGATAATAGACGAGATTATTTACTATTCTGTTGTTCCATTTTCTTAAATCATTATAATTAGGAAGTTGAAAACGTGAGGATTCCAAAAGAAAATCGTGTAAAGTACGAAAGGGTGGGAATTCCCATTCACAGTCTAAGAATCTTGTTGAATCTATCATGATGTTGAACACAATTTTAAACTGAACTAAAAAATTTAATTTTTATGATTGCACATTGATCGGCTTTAACACTATTGGTATTTTCGGATGTTGATGACTAAAACAGATGTCGCGTAAGCTTTATGACATCAACGATACCGTTGTTTAAAAATAATGAACCAGATGAGTCGTAATCTTCGTTTAATTTTCAGTTCTTTCCTCTCTCTCTCTCAAAAAGCAAATAAAAATTTTATTATTATGTACCTTAGCAAAAAAATCTACACACCGTGCAAATAAATTGTATAGAGACCAGTTTATGTGTTAAATTCTTAATACGTTTGCTTATCTTCTATTAGGTGCTAAATATCGATGAGCAACGTAAAACGTCATTCTTTATTCTGAGAAACTTAGATACAGCGGGTGTTTCAAATTACTCTTTGTCAACTTTATTTTTTTGATTAAATCAATATATATAAATTAATTAAAACGCAATATGATTAGATAACATTTAACACATAAAAAAATGCGTTATATTTTATAAAATTTATACGTTTTATTTCTCAGATAATATAATTTTATTTTCATTTATTAAAAATACACTTTTGTTTTTTCGTATTTTTTATAAAAAAGATTGTAGGCATTACATATTTATATATAATTATTATAGAAAATTATATCCATTATACTTATTAGCTACACGTGTACAGTAATATCAATCATGCTATTGTCATTGAAATTGTTATTATTTCAATTAAAATAAGCCCATAATATTAAATATAAATCATACGGTGAGTCAATCATGTAAAAGGAGGCACATTAATGTTTATTGTCTGATATGATAAGTGTAATTAATTAATAGCATCACATGCGTCGATCCAATCGTTATACACATCGATTGGTTCTGATAATATGTTCACACTAGTTTGATAAACTTCTAAACAAACTCGACATGAAATTTTTGCTGTATTTCGACTTTTGTCCCTAAAATCATTACAAAATGTAATAACTGATAGTCCTTTCAACTAATGTTTGATTAAATGATCCACTAAAACTTACATTTTAACTTCGCACGATTTTTCATGGTTACAAAATGGACACGTAAATTGTATATCCATAGGTTCGATAGCTTTTCTTCTTTGTGGAGCTTGTCGTTTACTTTTCCTTCGCCCCATTTTCAGCAGATACTGTATTATTTCAGCTTTTAAAAATATAACAACCTTAAACACAATATAACGATAACATATTTTTTGTATGACTTATAGAAAGTACGTATTTATACAAATTTTGATGTGAGAAGTTAATATTAATTTCGAAATTATTTAAAAAGAAAAACAACCTACTTTTAAACGTCGAGAAATAACTAACAAACGATTTTGAAGTTACTCCAGCAATAATAATGAAAACTACGAAATGTTCTATCGACTAACGTCAAGAAGCAACTAATGTCGTTGATATTCAAGCAGACATCTAACCATTGTTGTCCTTTTAAATTTGAACTATTGCGCGATCGTACCATAGGCATTTTACAGAAACAACCCAGAATTTGGAAAGACAGGATAATCGCAATCAGGATTCATCAGGAACTACGCTTAATATGTATATTTCTATCATAAAAATCAGAAATTATATTAAGTCTTTCATACAAAATTAAGATCAAGGATAATATAAAAGAATTTTAAACTTTCCACGAACACATCTGACAATAAGTAGATCTTAAAATTTGATATTAAATCATTATGATTTATTCTTTGTATAATTAAATATTAATAACACGCGATAACTTTTGCACCCTATTAAGCAGCAAATCTCCTTGTTTGACCATAGCCTGATATTGCCAATTTTTACTGTCTGGTCTATTAGTTTCAACAACCCCACCTACGCGATCAACTTTGCAATGCAATCTCCCGGCTGCAATAAAGCGCGACAATTCCCTGCAAAAAGATAATTAACAAATTAACAATCAAATGTATACTGTACTAATGTAAAGAGAAATCATTGTAAAACTTACTGATCAATATATTCTACTGTAACACCAAATGCTTCAGCCATGTATTGAAGCGTCAAAGATCTATAAGATTCTAGAAGTTGTGTGTATGCGAGGATACGCATTTCTCTAACATAATATCGATAATGTGGGAAAATTAAATAATCTCTGCGTAATAAACCTTCGACATGGGCTGAAACGACATTCACGTATTATAACAAAATAATATATCTACATGATCAATTTTGATTCTTGAATAATTATCAATACCCAAATTTTTAAAGAAGTCAGCATACTGGCAATTATATAAAGAAAATAAATAATCTTTGACATCTGGATTACTATGAAGCACTTCTAAAATTTCTGAACCTTTGATAATCTTATCTCTAAGTTCATTCCTAGGTAAACTTATCATGCTTAAATACACTGTGTATCTCACAAATGTGTTATAATCCATAAGCTCATAACTAGTAAATGTGCTTATCGTATCCAAGAAGAAGTTTGCAGCTTCTTTAAAGTCACGTACTGCTATGCAGTATATACCTTGATATACTTTTAATCGATTTCGTCTATCCCAATCACCACCTTCTTCTATCAAACTGAAATAAAATAGTATTTAAAGCCTGCTGTGTCCAAGACATTCCACAACTAAATCAATATTACTTTTCAATATATACATACCATTTAGCTTTTTCTATATTTTTAGTAACATGATCATGGTCTAAGTAAAATAATCCAATTCTAATGTTATGAAATACAATGTCTAATCTATGACCTAACGATACAGTTTTATCATAAGTTTTCCTGAACGCCGAAATGGCACCTTCTTTATCACCTATTCTACACAAATGTTCTGATTTCTTAAGATTGGCTTCTCTAACTTCCATTTCACCTAAATTTTTTTCAGCATCTTCAATTGCATCATCCAGTTCTTTCAGTTGTTCCATATTCTTAGCTTTCATAGGGGCCAAAAAATTATCATCAACCGTCCAATTTAAATCTTTACAAACTTCTTCATAAAATGGAGCCATGTCTGGAAAAATTAATTATATACTCTATACCCTATATTTAAAATACTCTGTTTATTTCTTTGTTCCAATACATAGTTTTTATAACACGATTGTATTACAACGGTTACAATATTTGCAACTATATTATTTACTCTGGACGAAATTTATCAAAAAGTAGTAATAGAAAATATTCATTACTAAAAAGAAAAGGAATTATTAAATGAGGACGAAACGAGTCTTTAATAAAAAGGTTAAGATAAATATTGTGGGAGTTTCTTAATTTCTGTTTGGATAAAAATATTAATTAAATCTTTGGTATTAAATATTTAACTCATTACAAATGAAATTTTCTATCGTATAAGCAAATTGAATTAGTTAATTTAAGAAGAAAAAAGTGCAATCTCACTTTCTGCTTTAATGGCATCTAACAGTTTGTTCTTTAAAAACAGATCATCCTTATGTTCTGGTAGGCTCAATAAAAATTTAGTTTGAGCCAGCTCCAAGTTGGGATTTTTTTCTAAACCCTCTTCCTCCAAATTTTCCAACGGCATTATAAATTAAAATAATAATTATAACACTGATAAACACAATTAACCGACAGACTGTGTTCTATGAAACACGAATTAAACAATATCTAGATGAACTTCAAAGATGTATATTTCTACAGTCACTCGATAGGTGGCAGAACAAATTCTTCTGCTTCAATGGTATATTCGTAAATAGTTCACTCAACAAGTCGAACATTAACTTAGTTTTCAAAAAACAACCGAGAGCTGAATCGAATAAAAATTTATATATTTTCAATGTCTTTTGTATTTAATTTGCATTTTTATTATAACATATTCGAATTTCCGAGAATAATAAACACAGAGAAATTTTCTTTTAACGAATCAATTTATTTTTTGACACAAACTGCCAATGACTCAGGTAAAGTGAGTCCAAAAAGAGAAAAATGTTTTCATAGGATTCGTTATATTTAAAATTTACAAGAAGGATTGCATAATGCGATTTCATTCATTCACATACCACACAATTCAATGCATACTGGCGACTTCGGTATCTCTTTTTCCCAATGACGGTTTTGCGCGACACTGATCATTCTCTCGATAATATCATTACAATTATGTCTGGACAGCAACAATGAAACTGATTGCAATATGATCGTTGAAAAGACGCTAAATAGGATTCTACAGAAGCAGCAATAGATTGTTAAAGATTTCCTTCTACTGGACAGGGTGGATATCATAAATTACATATTTGGTAAATAAAGTCAGTCAAAGCAATCAGAACGGAATCGAGACGACACGAAATATCAATTAAAATCAATTTTGTACATTAATTTAGCAAGCGTTGAAGTCGCATTTGCGATGGTAACAAATAGACATATATCGCAAATATATATCGAATTTCATTCAAATTAATATATTTCAGTCAAAATCACGGATCATATGCTCTCGTGATTAAAGCACCATATCTCAATGATAAATGATACATTAAATATAAGAATAAACAAATTTATTTGAAATTTGCATTTTTTAACTCGCTAAATTCCGAATTCCACGTTCTTCCTTTCGTAATTTTAAAAAATTTTAATAACCTGAAAAATCTTTTCAGATATATTCGTTTCTGTACAAGTACTGGATTTACTCTTTAAGCTTTATGCGTATGTATGCACGTATACAGGCGGCAATACATATGCACATATACAATCAACAGGGTATCATTATCGTAAATTTACGGAAATCTTGATTCGGTAATTTGTGAAATTTAACATCGATAATCGAACACACGCGACGTTCTTCTTTTTCGAAAGAGAAGATACGAATGACGAAAGAGACACGTATTCTAGATTATTATATCGCGTTTCAAGGAAATACGTATCGTTCATTGGTAACAGGGAGACGATCGCACACTCGATCGGAGAATCAGCAATCGAAATATATCGCGCGCACGGTTGGTAAAAAATAAATCGTTGGATAACCACTGCACGCTTTTAGTACAGTTTGGTTTACCGACCGATTTTAACGGCCAACTAATGACGCCAACACTCCACGCTATTATATTATCATATATGATCGTTAAGCATGCTCCTATGAACGAATCGGTCAGAAGCAGTCAGAGTTTTCGTGTATCTCGAACGAATGGATAAACGAACGAACAAATTCATAGAAACGAAAAAACAATGTGCATTTAATTCTGAACGAAACGATGGAATATATGTATATATCAATCTTAATTCTCAATTCCAAACATGCATGGTTCAGTATTATTGCTACTTTGTTCGTTCGAATGATTATGTACGAAAATGCAACCGATTCGTATTTGTAACGATGTTTTCTAACCATCAACAACCAACGATCATTAACCAAATTTCTCTCTGAATCAAAAAACTTGAAACGAGCGAGAATAATTAAAAACATACTTGTATCGAGTTAGTTCAACTCTTTCGTTCATCGATCGAACGAACGATCGAATCATTCTCTTTCTTCTATCTTGCTTTTTCTCGGCTTTTGTTTATCTCGTTTTCCTCGAAAATTATGCACAGAATTATAAACTGCATAGGACATTGATTTGTTCGTGTAATCCCGATTCGTTAGTGAAACAAGGAAAAAAAAGAAAAAAGAAAAGGAAAGAAGGAAGGATAAAAGAGGTATGGATAAGGGTAAAAGTAAAGGATACAGAAAAAGAAGAAGAAATAAAAAATACGTGGTATAAATACCGATGAAGCGTCTGGAGAATGAACGTGAATCAATTCGAAAGTTGGGAATCGTTGATCTAACAAGTGAAAGAAAGAGAAGGGCGATATAGGAAGGAACGAAATAAAAATTGCGAAGAACGATGAAAGATGCGTCGCCCCTCTTTCCCGCGTTGTACGTACAGCTATAAATACTCGGCAAGTACATTGTTGGTCGATATAGAACACATCTCGACAATCCGAGCGATCGATACGATGCTGATAATGACAATCGTGACAGAGAAGTGGTTAAGGTAAAAGCGAGCGAGCGAGCGGTCGATTACTGTTTCGGCCACGAATCGACGGATCGGTCGATCGATCGATCGATCGGTCGGCTGGACATTCACACCGTTAAGTTTAAAAGGTAGAATAATAGAGGTTCCAAGCGATTAAAAAATATGTCGGAGGCCGGTTTTGGCCCAAGCTCTCTTACTCGCTTACGCTCGAATTTTTTCCTCTCTTTTCTTTCAATTCTCTTTTCTTTTTCTTGTTTTATTATTATTATTATTATTATTATTATTATTATTATTAATATTAATATTATTATTATTGTTATTATTATTGTTATTATTATTTTGTTGTTGTTGTTATCATAGTTATAATTATTATTAATATTATTATTAATATTATTATTATTATTATTATTATTATTATTATTTCGATACGATCAACAGCGAAACCACTTAAATCTGTATAATATATTTATACTTAATACTTAATTCTTAGCGATCAATTTACAATCGATTGATTCGATTAATCGAAAGATTCGATTAATTCGTAGCGATGGTTCGTTCCGTTCGGCACGGCATACGTTCATTTCCATTTCCCTGCTTCATTTTCCTTCTTTTTTCTTCGTTTCGTTTCATTATCGACGAACGATTAACACCGACGACACTTATACTAGAACCGTCCCCTTTGAATCGGAATGGATTCTGAAAAACATCTACCATAGATTAATTGTCGATCGTACGCGCTTTGTGTCCTTGAGGCCGATAGAACAAAAGAAACATTCATTATATAGACATCAGTTATTATATCAACGATTTTCTCATCTATACCCTGTGCATCATTTTAAATGTTTCAACACATCCTATGTGATTACTCGATAAATGTTTCTCGCTTATCGTAGATAGTCAATATATAATATTTATACTTTGTGTGTGTATCCTTTAAGTATAGGCACGCGTACGCGCACTAGCGTATGCATCTCTTTCTTTCTTTCTCTTTTCCGTCTGTTATATATACGTACACGTACCCGTACGCGTGCATATATTTATTTCTCTGCATATAATCATGCCAGATGCGTAATTTTACAGCGTTGATTAGCGACAAAAGAGGATGTCGGTTATGGCATACATCTACATCGACTGTTTGTGATCGTGTATTGATAAACACTGTAATCCTCGATTGCTCGAAACGCAGCGATGAAATATACAATTAACGAGAGACAACATAACGCGATAACTATAAAAATCACGGTAACGTATAATATTTCACAGCGACGTTGATAGTCAACGATAAACCGATATGCATTAACCGATAAACAAATTGCAACGAGAACGGTTATGGCTATGGCTGTAGCGAGTGCGAGGTACGAAAGCGAGGATGCCTACCGAATCGACTACCGAGATTTTCTTTGCAGCTCCCCCCGCCCCCCTCTCACTCTCTCACGCCCTCTCTTTCCCTGCGCCCTTTGCTACGGTTTCGTTTCGTTTCTTTCACGCTCGGACGTTTCGCGGTTCGATCAACGCGTGCAGACAGAGAGACCATTCGACTTTCCGACATTTCGATATTTTCCATACTATCGTTGGAAATCAGACGAGATACGGAAGAAACGAAGACGCGTGGACGATCGTGCTTTCGATTATTCGTCCGTTCGGTGTATGCTAACAAAGAAACGCGAACGCGAAACGATAATCATAATACATAGATAGTCGGTGCACTCTGTTCGGAAAAAGTACACGTGAATTTGGTTATAAGCGTACACGAGTAAACTCGACTGCGTACTGCATTGTGGCGCCGCGTAGCGTCGAGTGGCTCAATCCGTACGTACGGGCGAAACAGCTCTTTTACCTTTCTATATATTTCCACGAACCGTGGGCGACTGCGATCGTCTATCGCGAGAGTTTATTTTTTTCGACGCGTATCTATGTGAGCAGCAAGTTCTTAGCAAGTACAGCATAGTTTGCGATTCGTGGTTTGTCGTCAATTAGACATAGCCAAACGGAATTGTTGCCGCTTCTCCGCGATGGAAACGATTCGTTGAAGGCGAATCGAGCGAATGTCTCGTGAATCGCGAACGAATTCGTAACAAAATGAAAGAGAAAATAAGGCGGGAAACGGAGAACCCACACTTTGCAAGAGTACGATGTATACGATGGAATTGGAAAAGTACGAGGCTTCGTTGTACCTCGATCGGATGGTTTACGATCAATTTTATATAACGACGATTCATTTGTCGAGTCTCATCTCCGTCCATACGAGCGAGGAAAGGAAATCGTGCGAGAAATACGGTACACCCCTCTATCGATCGATCGGTCAGTTTTCTTTTCCGAACTTAATCCCCGTGCAAAATTACTCGGTCGATTGCGATAAACCGCCACGATTCAACGAATCGAATTGACTAGATTCGCATTAAACATATACAGTTTGCAATTAATCATGTGCACACGCGTATATACGCGTTATTGCTTTGATGTAACGTATCATACACTGTAACGCACACATATACATAATACGCGTACACG